TCTCTCTCTCTCTCTCTCTCTCTCTCTCTCTCTCTCTCTCTCTCTCTCTCTCTCTCTCTCTCTCTCTCTCTCTCTCTCTCTCTCTCTCTCATGAGGACAATAAAAGGTATTAAAAACCTATGGGCAAAACTTCGAACGGCAAAGTTGAGCAGATCAGTTAGAGAAAGAAAAGAAAAGGGATTGCACTACCCAAGATCTCAACAGAAAGACTTCCAGGGTACTGATCTACTCCAGATTGGAAACCAGTCAAGATTATGGGAATGCACAGCAAAGCCAGGGAAGGGGGGGGAATACAGGCTTCTTCACCAAGTTCAAAAACGAAATTTTGGTCCAAGCCTGACACGGCAAACAAAAGATACTGCCTCTCCTCTGAAGAAACCAAACGTTTACTGTAGCTAAACCGCCTCCATAAACCCAGTTCAGCTCAGACGCCTGCTCCGAAAAAATCTCCCATAGGCCGTCGTGCGACAAATAGCTTCATCCTTCGTCCACAGGAGAGGAACAGCCCAGTCCTCTCACGCCCCCAACTGCTAGGTGGTTAACACGGGGTGCGACCCACCTCAGAGCGATCCCCCAACTGCTAGGATACAGAGCGAAGCGATCCGCCCTGGCTGCGGCCAGCGTCGTCTAAGTACCAGTCCACCACTGGCCACTGGAACGCCTTCCGCCCTCGGCAATTACCGTACCGAGATCTCTCTATCAGGCCTCAAACCCCCGCCTAAATCGGGTTACAGGGCAGCGCAACCAAACCCCAGCACCGGCCAGCATCGCCTCGGCCATCCACAAGCCTATGGGTATGGAGGCGTCACCACAGCATCAAATGGACCGCCAATCACCACCATGATTGCAGTTCCCATGCATCCAACTCCTCCGCGCACTGGTTACGCACATCCACCAAAATCATCCATCAACCCCCCTTCACCCTACTCCAGAAAGACTTAACACGACGAAGTCAGCCACCATCTCCGCCGCTGCTGTGCCCAATCTCCATCCTACTAGCTAGCCCTGACACGTTGCATCCAATCATAACTCCCACCGTCAAAACCGGTGTAAACTACCACAAGATAACTCCCTACCCTCAAAAGACAACCCCGCCCTGTCTCTACATGCCCCCCCCCCCGGAGGAGCCCCCTTCTCCTCATCAGCCCAAATTCAGGACAGTCCCCAAAACAGTCACCTCTACTTCCCCAAAAGCATAAAATTCCCCCTTAGCTAGAGTATACCCCCACAGAGCAGAAAAAAATTAAATTTCCCCATCCGTCCTCTCCCACCCCCTCCTAGTAGAACAGCCCACTTCGACCTCTCACCCCCAGGCTGCTGAAAGCAGCACTTCATCCCTTTTCCTCTCTGCCCCAATTGCCATGACGGTCCCGACCCCAAAGACCAGCCCAGCCCCACAAAAAGACAAAGTCTTACCCCCCTCATTTCCGCCCCTCTCCCTCTCAAGGACAATACACCTCCCACCTTGTGTACCCCTCGCAAGAAGAAGAAGAAGAAAAAAACAAAAAAAAAAACTGACCAAAGCAATCCCGAAGGGCATCCATGAACTCACCCATCTGAAAGAGCCTATCGAACATTTTCTGACAGATTACTTTCAACCCTGAAGAAACTAATCAACCCTGAAGAAAGTAATCCTGCAGGAGCGAGAACCTCGACAGAGTCGAAGAAACTAATCAACCCTGAAGAAAGTAATCCCGCAGGAGCGAGAACCTCGACAGACCCCTCTCAAAAGAAAATTTCAGGCAAACATATAGGAGGACACGTACTTTCTAAAAGCCAACACAAATCAACCTTTCAAAATCGTACAGATTCCGAAAGCTCAATTCAGAAGCTCAATAAACAATAAAATCGCCAAAATTTGGACTAACAAAAGTATATGAAGATTGGAAATGAGAATCAAAACTTGAAAATTTTAAATTTATGATATATCAGATATTGAAGCTAGGATTCCCGAACTTAAAAAACAGGACAATACTGCTTAGGGGTTTCAAGTTAAGATATCTCCGAAATGGAATTTCGACTTTAGATTTTACGAATTGTTTTCGAGACAAACGATCAGAGCCAATTCTTCTTCGCGAACATTAACAGAAGATCGAACAGACAATTCTTAATTACAGACGCCAGCTGAGAAAACCCATCAGGAAGCTCACATGCGAAAACGAAATCAGGGAAAACGCTCTAGATTTTCAAAATTTTAGGCAGAGACAACCTATCGAATCGCTACACTTAGTACGACAACAAAATGAGAAAGAAAGAAAAAAATGGTTTTCCATTCTTAGCAGTAACTGACATTCCCTTGTGAGGGGACCACCATAAAACGTTAAACCGGGTCCAGCGTCCCCTTGCATACGCCAGCTGAGAAAACCCACCCACTGTTGTCTTCAACCGAGAATAACGCCCGGGCGTTATATACAGACGCCAGCTCAGAAAACCCATCCACTGTTGTCTTCAACCGAGAATAACGCCCGGGCTTTATATACAGACGCCAGCCGAGAAAACCCATTCACTGTTGTCTTCAACCGAGAATAACGCCCGGCGGCCGTTATATACAGACGCCAGCTGAGAAAACCCATCCACTGTTGTCTTCAACCGAGAATAACGCCCGGGGGTTATATTCGAATATAACGTTCAGGTTGGGAAGGTTAGGATATCAGGTCACGGTAACCTTGGACCATGGTTGACAACAACAACAAAAAAAAAAAAAAAAAAAAAAAAGGTCATGGAATGGGTGTGGGGTTGAGGGGATGGCCCTAGGATGGTTGATTTACAGCGTTAGGGATCATAGGAAAGCGAGGGGAATACGAGGATGCACACAATGTGCAGTTCGTCGGATCTCGACACACCGAACGCCGGACACTTCCACTGCTGCTTTGCAAAACGCGCAGAGTTCGTCCGAGGCTGCTGCACACACTGCTGGGGACCTTGTAGTCTACCTTGGCCGGAAGAATCCCCAGGATGGTTGCTTTGCGGCGGTAAGGACGCCAAAGGGAGGGAATAGGAGGATGCATACGATCTGCAGTTTGGACGTGGACACACCGACCACCAGACACGTCCACCACTGCTATGCAGAACGTGCAGTTCGCCGGAGGCTGCACAGTCGGGTTCCTGGTAGCCTACCTAGAAGGGTCCTGGAATAGGACGACGCACACGATCTGCAGTTCAGTGACCACAAGACACGTCCACCACCGCTGCTCCGCAAAACGCGCAGTTCGCCGGAGGCTGCACTGTCACTGTCGGGGTCCTCATAGCCTACCCAGCAGGATCCCGGGACCCTGTTTTTTTGTTTTTTTTTTTTTTGAAAACCCCCACCCGTGTTAGTGGTGCTGATACGAGCAGACACTACTAACACCTGGGGAGGGGCTCCATCTATTGGTGGGGAGCGGCACCTGCTGGAAAGCGGGTCCAACGTCCCTTGTCCAGAATCCCGGGACCCTTACTCTCCGTGGGTTATGAAACACCATTATGAAACACCTGCTGGAAAGCGGGTCCAGCGTCCCCTTGTAGACATCAATCTCTACCTGACCGTTAGAAAAATCGAGAAGTGAACATAAGGCTCCTCACTTTTTTTTTTTTTTTTTTTTTTTTTAACAGAATCTTACGATTCGGGCTCCTTTTCCATTCTGGGGAGCATCAGTCCAGTTCCTATTCCCCCGGCAAGTCAGAAAAGATTACAAGGTATTACACACTCACGCTCCTCCCCCTTGTGGTGTGGAGGTCCGAAGGACGGCATTGATTGCTTCCCGGAGGAAGGATGTACCACCCTTCACCCCTGCCTAAGTTAGCCTGTTCTACTGGGAATTGGATTGTATCTCGTGGTTGATGCTTAAACCCTATACCCTATTTTGATGCTACTGTGTCTTGATCTATCTCCGGTGGCCGAGTCTGRATCGTATCTTGCTGGGGTTGGTGGGGCTGCTCCGGGTTTGTGTGTCGCTTGAAAGGGGAGTAATTGGGTTCCGGTGTAAGAGTATTTGCTGGAGGATTGTTGGGGTCTGGGGGTTTCATGGGACTGGGTGAATTGTTTATATAAGGTGTGTTGGATAATGTTTGGAGGGTGTGGGGGGGGAACATAAGGCTCCTCACTAATTTAACTCTTCTACAAAAATTCAAAAGGTGGCTACTGCCCTCTGCCACTCAGAATGATGGCCCGCGCCTCACTCTGGCTCTCAAATTCAAATGTCATCCCCAAAACCTTGGGGCCGGAATCGCCTATCTAAACCCTTTTGCCCTGATGGAAGCACTCTGCCAGCGGAGCAATTGGCCCAATTGCAAGAACCGAATCACCTCTTTAAGTGCACACTGAGTCTCTCACACTAAAGACTTTTTACTCTGAGCTCTGGACTTGATACCAGTCAGATTCATCGTGGTCTGGCCGTAATTGTAGCCAGATGCATTTAGGAAAGCGCTAGTAAGAGTATCGTGCCCTAAATGTTCCATCCTACCTCCCTTTGTCTCCTTTCAATGATTTCAATAACCTTTCCAACTGTACTTCCACTCCAACTATAATTCAGCAAGTGATTCAAAAACAAAGAAAGGAAAAATCAGATAGCAACAGATAGTAACCAGAAATTATCCCCATGAAAAAAGCAACCTTGGGGCACCATTACCCTTCAGAATCTTCCTCTTCTTCCTCCTCACCCTTCAGAATCAGACGCAGTTTTCAGAGGCTTGCAGGGGGGCACTCCTGCGCCAGCCCCCATTCACTTTCCTTAACCTCCTCAACCTTCTCCATCCCAATCTGGCCAACCCGACGACCAACCCAACCCCATAGTTGCTCAACCCTGGCACCATCTTGATAAGTCGGCCCCACTTACCATGCACCCTGAGCTCCTCTTCCCTTTGAAAACACCGGAGCTGCCCAGCGTTGATACGACCTTTGAATGCCTATCCTTGCCCCCACACCCTTCCCCCTCCCTCTTCACCCTTCCACTCCTCATGCCTAAATCTTTTGTAAGCTTCTAACAGTCTGAGATTCTACCCCTCCCCTCCTCCATGACTCCTTACCTCACCTTACCCATCCTTACTACCCCTCTTTAGCTCTCTTTACCCTCTTTACCCCTTTCCACCCCTCCTCCACGCAAACCCCACCGACCCCAGATTTCAGAGTGAGGGTTTTTAACATGGAGGCCTCACCACTGGACTCCACATGATAGCTGCTCACATTCTACAAGAACCTACTAGATTACCAGTCCTTAGAAAGAAAAAAGGAAAGCTTCCCACCCATCCTCAGCTTCCCTTCTGTTTGATAATACAAGAACACCTCCTCCAGTTGCCAAAACAAAACCTGTAAAAACCACCACTACCTGGGCCTCCTTTTCAACAGTTTATGGGTGTACCAAAAACCCTAAGCCCATTGGTGGGCCTCCTTTTCACATTGCGGGGTACCTGATCTTTTAGGAGGCCGAAATGAAACAGATGAGCCATCTTTCATGCCCGGTCCCCGGATTTTTAGGGGAGGGATATTTTTATTATTTCCCCTTTTCTCAACAGCCGGACCAACTTCATAAGAACCCCTCAGTGCTGGACCCTGTATGCTGGTGACCACTACCGGATTTTTAGGAGAGGGATATTTTTATTATTTCCCCTTTTCTCAACAGCAGGACCAACTTCATAAGAACCCCCCAGTGCTGGACCCTGTATGCTGGTGATGACTACTACCATCGGAGGAAGGGGCGGAGGAGGGTTGATGGGTTCGCCTCCTAGTATCCGCAAGTATTTCATCCAAGAGGTACACAACTCGCCGCATCTGTGGCCTAAGCTCCGGTTCGTGCTGAACACACTGCATAGCAAGTCTCCCGATCTGCAAAGCCAAGTCTTGTGGATAGTCGCTGCCAAGCTGGGGGTCTACAATGGGGCAGACTTGGGCCGGTGCTTTCATGTCCTTGATGCGCGGTACCATCACTTCAGTGAGAAACGGCCGGAAAGGAGCCCTTTCCCGGTAAGCAGGCCTGGGAACTGCGTCGGGACCCAGGTCCAGGTTCGGACTTTGGACCCTTGGCTCGCTGGGTAGTATGGCTTTCTGCCCAGTGAGTAGCTCCAGAAGGACGACACCAAAGGAGTAGACGTCGCACATGGGCGACACTCTGCCATAGATCATGTACTCTGGGGCCATGTACCCCATGGTTCCTGCAAACTTCGTCGACACGGTGTGATCTTGCACCACCATAGCTGTTGTGGTGATGGCCACCGAACCAGTCATGGCCAGCGAACCGCCATCGCCGCCGCTGTTGGCAGCCGGGGTGAGCTTGATAACCCCAAAGTCGGCGACTTTACCCCTTAGCTCCTGATCGAGCAGAATATTCACCGACTTGATGTCGCAGTGAACATAGGAAGGCTTAGCGTGTTCATGTATGTACTGCAGCCCTTCTGCTGCATCCAATGCGATTTGAACCCTCGCCGGCCATTCCAGAGCACCGTGGGTTGCTGGCTCGTGCAGATGACTGCTTAGCGTTCCTTGGTGACAGTACTCGTACACAAGGAACAAATTGCGATCCGTGCAGAAGCCTATCAGCTGAACAAGGTGCCTGTGGTGAACCTTACTTAGAATTTTCAGCTCCTTTTTAAACTCCCGGGAATAATCGAACCTCATCTTTTTGATGGCCACCTCTCTGCCGCGGAGATTGGCGTAAAATACCTCGCAAGACCCCCCTCTTCCAATCAGATTAGCCTCATTAAATCCGTCCGTCGATTCCTCCAGCTCTCTAAGTGAGAACACAACCCTCCTGTCCTCCTCCTCATCGTCAAGCGAAACCCAATTATCCCCTCCTCCTCCTCCTCCTCCTCCTCCTCCTCCTCCTCCTCCTCCTCCTCCGGCGGCAGTGGTGGTAGCTTCACCGCCCGGTAATCTACCGGACTTGGAGTATCGCATGGCGCCGAGAGAGCTGGAATGTCGCAAGAGGCCTGCTTTGGAAAGCCAGTGCCAGAAGCGACTGGTCTCGACAACTTGTCCCGGTCCCGGCGTCGGCCGTCTCCGCCTCCATATCACAAAAAACACGATCAGCATCGCCATGCCTCCAACCACTATCACAATTGCAATCGCGATACCGATCCATATCGACAGAGCTTGATTGCCTCCTCCGTCAGTGGGAATACTGCCGTTATTATTGGTGCCACCTCCGCTAACGGGCGGACTGCCACCGTTAGTGCCCCCTCCTCCGCTAACGGGCGGACTGCCACCGTTAGTGGCCCCTCCTCCGTTAAGGGGCGGCGGGCTGCTGGTGTCTCCGCCGGGCAATCTGGGATAAGAATTATTCGTGGGAATGATTAGAGGTTGAGGCCGTTGACTGGGGTTAACGGTGGAGCTAACGGTGACCGGATCGCCCACCACGCCGTTAAGGTCTAGTATGGCCCTGGCCGTGGAGTTGAAGGTCTGCGCGATGGTGGCGTATTTCTCCGACCCCGACGCGGGCCCATAAGTCAAGTAGGATCGGGATTGCGACGCCTTTGCCGAGGTCCGATTACATGCACAGGGGATCGGGATCCGGAGGACGTCGCCCGGGTTTATCACGTCTACGTTCTGCAGCCCGGTAGCCGCGCCGATCTCGGTCGTTGACGTCAACGATTGGTACTTGGACGTCGCAATCTTGTCCACCGTGTCCCCAGACTGCACTGTGTACGTCAGTCTGGCCGTCTCAAACCCACTCGCACTCTGGCTGCTGCTTCTGTTCGTACACGAACAGAATACTGGAATGATTTGCAGGCCTGACCCGATCGAGCTCATCAAGTCGGGATCGCGACCTAATCCAAATCGACTGGCTATGTCGGCCTCCATATCTCCAACCTGCAGTCTGTAGGCCACGTAGGCTGTGCACTGCTGCTGATCGACGGCACTACACGGGACTGCCAACGCACAGGAAACGCGGGCCAGGATGATCAACAGCGTAAGCACGTGAGTACATATAGCATTGACAAGTGGAGAGTCGACACGTGGACAATAGAACGGAGTGACACGTGGATAGCCATGGTAGAACGCCATGATGACGTTGGTACACACCTAAGAAAGAAAGGAAACGCAGGCCACCGAACGCAGCCGACGCTCACGCGCTGTTTCTTTGTCCTGAGGCTCCCTCTTTTCTTCGAATTCTCAAATTACGAAAACAATTCAAAACTCCTGTTTCGCAGCACGGGCACCACACACACCACACATCTGTAAAATCTCGCTACGATCACTCTGTCACCACCTCGTCGTGGCTTCTTGATTGGACTCTAGAGAAGAATCAGCCTGCCGACCGTCTTCCCCCCGAACATAACGCATAATATGCGTTGTAAGCGAATATACAAGCAAGAGGTGCCTTTCTAGATTCCAATATATATAGACAACGCGCGTGCGTTCTATTCGAACACCAAAGGTGTATTCGAATACAATCGAATACAACGCATGTGCGTTCTATTCGAATCATCGAAGTTCTTTTCCGGAAAAAAAACTCGAATACAACGCCCATGCGTTATGTTCGGGGGAAAGGGAAGCCAGTAGTCCTCGCGGCTGAACGGGGACACGTGGCTGACTGGAACACAGATGAATGCTCCCCACGTGGCTAAATGGTTAGGACTGAATTTAATCTCCTCGTCTAGCCTCGACAGGAATCGAGAGACCCTGCGCAGGGATGTCATGACACGCATAAATCGAATCGAGAGAAGCAGGATCAACCTGCATCGGCCACGTGGCTGAATGGTAGACACACGTGTTAGCTGTTAGTAAACAGACGATCATCGGTTCAAGACCCGACGGAATCACATTGACTAATTGATTCTTCATGTTGCGCGAGGATCAACCGGTACTCCTCGCCCAGATTCCAATCCGTGAGAGTGGTGACACACAATTGTGCTCTTTTTCTTCGTCATATCATTGAGTATATTTTACATCCACCTCTTTTTCCTCTTCTCCTCTTCTTATCACCTTCAAAACGACGGGTCGACGGAACTCGAGAGAGAAGTAACCTACCTGCCTACCTACCCATCTCGCTGAGTGGCATTATAGTAGTATATACTCATGCAAAGGTTGTTAGTAAGCAGATCATGAGATCGAGCCCTTCTACAAGTACATGGGTCTAACCAAATCGAATGTTGTAAGAGGATAAACCTCTTCTCCTCACCCTGATCCTCATCGAGATGACGGTCCTTTTTGTCAAAGACGCGGAGAAACGAACAGCAGCCATTCTTCTCCCCAGCAGCGCAGTTGGATACGACTCTGAGAAGAAGCGGGAAGATCGCTGCTGTCCCGCTTACAACCTTCTTCTCCCATTCGCTCCTCCTCCTCCTCCTCCTCCTCCTCCTCCTCCTCCTCTTCTTCCTCCTCTTTCCTCGCCTCTTCCTTTTTCTCCACTCGCTCCCCCTCCTCCTCCTCCTCCTCCTCCTCCTCCTTCACCTCTCTTCGTCTTCGGGAAGATCGCTGCTGTCCCGCTTGCAACCTTCTTCTCCCATTCCCTCCTCCTCCTCCTCCTCCTCCTCCTCCTCCCCCTCCTCCTCCTCCTCTTCCTCTTCCTCCTCCTCTTCTTCCTCCTCTTCCTTTTTCTCCACTCGCTCCTCCTGACCTCCTCCTCCTCCTCCTCCTCCTCCTCCTTCACCTCTCTTTGTCTTCCTCCTCCTCTTGTTCCTTCTCTTCTTTTTCCTCCTTTTACTTTTCCTCCAGCTCCCCTTCTTCTTCTTCCTCCTCCTCCTCCTGCCGTTACTTGTCCTCTACTTCCCCTCCTCCTCCTCCTCCTCCTCCTCCTCTTCCTCACGTCGTTGCTGCTGCCGCTCTCACATGCCGTTCTGTAAAGATGGCTGTCCTCTCGCCGAGCCGCACACCCACTATACACTCATCGAAATCATTTTCCCATTTGCGTCATTGCCGACGAAAACTGGCCATTCCAGCTCATCATCTGGCATCTGGCATCTTCCAGACTTCAAACACAAAAAAAAAAAAAAAGCGGACGGCAACCATTTTGTCTCCTCACCAGGCGCGCATGCAGTCATCTTCTCCCATCCCCCTCTTCCTCGTCCCCCTCATCTTCGCGTTCCTGCCCGGGGCAAGGTCCCACTCGCGCAAATTAGGAGATTTTGGCCGTTGATCTTTGCTATCTACGGTCAGTATCTCTTAATCCGTGCAGGCCCCCCGGTAGTGCAGCGACGCCCATGGTCCGCCACACGAGGAAGGAACCAATGAGGGCATACTCCGCAACGAAAAAGGAAAAAGGAAGGAACCAACGAGGGCATACGCCACACGAGGACCTTCCTATCCCTCTGTATCCCAAGACTGGATGTGCATGACCGTAACTACGTCTACAGAGAGGTAAAAAAAGTCCTAGTGTGAGTATGCCCTCAGGGCATCGCCACACCACTCTCGAAATGTGCAAAATGAGATGGCCCCTGCGCAAGGATGACACGCATAAATCGAGAAATGGTCCAAATTTTTATAGGAAAAAAAAAAAAAGCACCGGTATTTTTTTCTAAAAAAAAGAAAAAAGCGAAGGGACGACGAAACGCAGCAGCGGGGTCACCAAATGTGCACCTTCCGCTAGAACATTCGAAAAATTCAGCGCCATATTCTTTTGTCTTTCGTGCATGTCGAGCATAGTGGCCTCTCTCCACTATGCTCGAAATGTGCAAAACGAGAGAGAATCACCCGCTAGAACATGGGACTCACCCGCTAGAACATGGGACGATACACCGCCATGATTTTTGTCTTTTGTGCATGTCCAGAGTAGTCGAGCGACGCCTTTATTGCCATGACCGCGAAATGTTGTAGCTCGAATGCAGGAATGGGTGCCACTTGGATCTATTTCGCTTCGCCGCCATGAGGCTCTAGTATGTCCAGAGTAGTATGTCCAGAGTAGTCGAGCGACGCCTTTCTCACTTCCTTTCTCACTTCGGGCGCTTTCCATGGGCCTCGCCACACCACTCTTGAGGACGAGAAACACTAGTCCACCCCCGACAGCAAAAAAAAAAAAAAAAAAAAAAAATGGGAATGTGGCTCTAGTATCTAAATGGCCAGTAAAGGCCATGTTTGATAATCCTTCCAAAATTCGGATTCACATTGCCGAATATGGGCGTCTTTAGACACTCCTTACGAGTTCCTTGAGCCACAAGGAATTCTCCTTGTGGCTCATAAGGGAATTTTGCGTCATAGTTCCACACATCCTTGGGGACGTCCCCCTTTTCCTTGTGGCCTGCCTGCGGCCATTTTCATACGAAAATACGTGGCCGCGGCCAGGGGTGTCCGTGTGGAGACGGTGTGGTCCAGCAACGTCCGGCGGAAAAGGGCATGAGGCAGGCCACGCAAAATAAAATAAAAAAGGGGGACCTCTGCATTTGAAATTCAAAATTTGACGTATGGCTGTGGTGACAACGACGATGTTCGGCTTGCAGTGCGCATACGGTGCACGGCTGAATCGGCCTTCACCGCCCACCTCCCGGTCAATGTACGTGCGTGCACCGGGTGCGTCCATCACCGCCGAGCTTCTCCTCCACATCGCCCCAGCCGTCACACGCTGTTCCGCCAGGGGGACGACATCCACGGAAAAGCAGCAGCTTCTCGGACCTCTCCTCGGGGGGTGAGCGGGTTACGTCTCCGGGGTGCGGGGATCGAGACGACAGCGGAGAGACGTCATCCCTGTGGAGGTGGTGGCGATGGAGGGCGGCTGAGAGGGCGGACGTGCGCTGTTGACACCGCTTGAGCGGGCAGCCGTGGCGGCGGCTGTGTCAACTGTTGTTCTTCGTTGTCAGCAGGAGAGGGCGCTGGGACGAATGAAGGAGCAGTTGCCCACGCCTAGAAGGAGGATGCTGATGCAAGCTGCGGATGAAGGGCCCGACTACGTGGCAACCTCCGAGGCTGGCATCGAGCTGTGCTACACGTTGGGTCACGGGGTCATTCCACTAGTGACACCGAGGTGGTGGATCAAACGCAGGACGTGGGGAACGGAGGAAGGCCGTCGACAATGCGACGACACCATGGATGACACTTTGACGAGAAGCAGCACAGCGTCTAGGAGCAGCAGAGGGACCACCAGAACCAGCACAGGGACGAGGAGCAGCACAGGCCGGGGAGCCTGCGGTGTGACGAACCATCTTCTGTAATTGCACGGCTTTCTGCGTGAAGCTGCTTGGGGAAAATACGACGGGTCGGATGGGTAAGTTGAGGGAAGAAGGATCGGGAGGACTAATTGCATGAATGCCCTCGTTTCTTTTCGTTTTCGTCGGGTCGGTGTCGGGAAAATCCCATGCCAACGGTTGGTTAGCCGCGCCTTAGCTTCTTTCTTGTTCTGTTGTGAGCACTGGAATTTTGGAGCGATCATCGCGCAAGAATATCTTTTTTTTTTTTTTTTTTTTTTAATCATGTCGAGCCCCCACGGGCTCGCGGAATTGTTTTTCTTTGCTTTTCGGGATTTTCTTTTCTCAATAAGGACTTAGGCTAGGAAATTAAGCACTCTGGATTTTGTTGCGCCGCGCTTGCGCGCATCTTGCTGCACTGAGAACTGGGCTGTAACTGGATCGCGCCCTTAATCCTGTGTAACTGTTGTTTTTGGCGGGCGCGATTGTAACTGTATCTCTCTTCTTTCTTGGTTCCGCTGTGTCTACCCGCCTTCTTCTTTTTCTTTGTCTTACATGCTCAATGCTCTGTTCTAATTGGACTGAATACCTGCATGACCGGATCGATGTGTGGAGTGTGGCTACGACCCCCACGCCGTGGCCTGGCCGTGCAAGCACATGCACTTCCTCTCTTCCCCTTCTGACCACTTGCTCTTAATCCCGTATCCCTCGCGCAAGCATGCATGCTATAAATTTCGCGAGCGCGATTAGTTTTCTCTCTAAAAATTTCCAGGTTAGTGCGATCAGTGAGGGGCAACAAACGAGCAAGTTTGGAAGGAAAGTGAGTGCGAGAGTTGGGCGATCCAACGAGCTGGTGGTGGGTATGCGAGGTTGACGTGCGGGGCCGTGACGGACTGTGGCACACGGGCGAACCTGGCTTGCATGCTCGAACCAAGCGAGGTGACAACTCTGTGTTGTTACGCGGCGACGGACTGCCGGTTTCGAGGGTGTAAAGCAGAGAGAGAGAGAGAGAGAGAGAGAGAGAGAGAGAGAGAGAGAGAGAGAGAGAGAGAGAGAGAAAG